TTTTATTTTTGTCTTATGACACTTTTCTAGTAGAAATAACGATGAATATTAAATGTTAAACAGATTTCTGGTAGCATAATATTTTGATCTAGCTTGATCTTTTCCAAATAATCAGGAAATATGATATTATTACTAACTGTTTATTCATGACCCTTTTAAAATATATTAACGATAAATAAAATAAAATGTAGAYGAGTCGGATGTTGTATTTGATTATTTATTTGTCAGTGTTTGCACCGTTTCATATCCTATTTACTCAATGACGTTACGCGTCCATTTTACATCCCTTTGCTTTCAAGATACATGAGTATTATATACCTAAGCGATTTTATACGTATATTATAATGTTTGTAATGTGAATGTATTATAATATATACGAATACAAARACGACTAGATCAAATATCATCTCACCCGGGCTGGCAGGGACGTTCCAATTCGTACCAGGAGTGATGACAAGCACGTTGACAAACCAATGCCCAGGAAAGCGTTGAACCCCAATACCGAGGTATAGAAATCGTGTTTCAGTTGTTTGGCGATTTGTGACCTGAAACAAAATGTTGCYAAAGTCGTATACGATGATTAAAGTGATTAGTGATAGTTGTACATAAAAGATATACCTATAATGTCATATCATTAATATATATACATAAAACACAAAATCAAATTATACCTATTTAAAGTTGAAAAGTTGAAATCCTTGTATCAGTGGCGAATTTAAGGAGGGGCCAAAGAAGCCTGGGCTCCCTTTGGCTCATAAGATGTGTAAGTATATAACTGTGACGTAAAATTAATAATCACGATTCACGAAAAATTCAGGTTTCTGATTTTGTTTTGATGCTTAATATTTGATTATATTATACTTTATATTTATAAGTCAACTTTGAAAGCTACTATAATTTAACGTCTCGTCTTATCTTGTAGTGATGTAAAAAAATATTGGCCTCCCTCCCCCCCCCAAAAAAAAAAAAAAACAAAATCCTAGGTCCGCCACTGCCCTGTATAATTTATCAAAATTACTTACAATTTAGTATTTACACAATAGATACATGAAAGTATTTACATCATGCCAATAATATAACTATAGATTAAAGATTGTAATTGATTTTCTAAAAATTTTAATTTTAATTTTTCGTTTCTTTAAATACTGTATATGTTGCCAAGAAAATTCTTTGATGGTTTTTAGTAAGTATATTATAGGCGGGCGCGTGGCCTTTCAAATGATAGCCATATTACTTTGTATTATATTATAATATTGTTTCAATAATAATACATAAAGTTATATACTCACATGGCGATGACGAAAATGGATTGCACAACCGTATCGAAGCAGATGTACATTAGGTACACGACAATGATGTTTTTTGAATAGTAGCCTAGGGACAGGAGCAATGCGATCACCAGAGAACAGAGAGCCAAAAACGCGAATCCATGATCGTTCCAGTTCACGTTCACCTTGCCGATTTGGTAAGTACTTAACGCAGCTATATATTATACGTAATAARTATATAGATATCGTGGCATGAATGTATTATTTTTTTCTGTATGGCTACTATATAATTCGGTATAAGCTATTAGACACAATCTTTAATATGAGCAATCTATAAGTTTCTGCTATTCAAAGTTTTCGGGGGGGCGGGGTGATCTTTCCATTGATAGTTTCTTATATGATACAGAGAAACATAGAGAAAGGTGACGCACCTTTTGTCTAGGGTCTAGCCCGGATTAAAACCAGAAACGGTTGAACGGTGAGATCCCTATATCAACATACAATATACAAAACGGGGAAAACATTATAAAATATAGTAATACATTGTAAATAAATAAATATATATACACACTATGTATTACAGTGAAATCTCTATATAGTTAACAGTCATGGGGAATTAAAAAATATTCACTATAATATACGAGTAGAGGTATACAAACTTTTTAACCCCGCGGCTCCTTTGGGTGTTCACAATATTTTGACGRCTCTCAAATGATTATGAAATAACACACGGATACAATAATTTATGGCCAATATGTTAATAACAGTGACATTAGTGCTAGAAATAAAACTTCAAATGGTCGCGTCGTAAGGTGTGTCGTTTTCATTTCCATAATAAATGCAAATAATGTTTATAATAATTATACAAGGGCGTAGGTATGATGTTGGTTTCCGGTGCTTTGAAGTGGCTCCCTTTGCAAACTCTCGCGATGCCCCTGGGAGCCACAACGCACAGTTTGAATACCTCTGCCATAGGGAGTTGATCTGCACTGTATAGGGAAACGTTAATAGAGAATTGGTTATTATATGTATAAATAATATACATATATTGAAATTGGTACATATTTATTCATTATTTATTATATTATATACAATATTTATGTAATAATAAGTGGGTATAAACATTTTTAAAACATTTTTTAATGTTTGTGTACAATTAAAATTATTTGAATTATTTTTTTGCTCTTTGCAGTGATATGTACATGTATAATGTCCATTTATGAGAGATAGTTGATCGTATATTATTAMATTTCTGATCCAATTTAGATATTTTGCTATACAAATAATTATCAACATAGTCTATCAATATCACTCATTTAGGTTATTTCTTAGTCATTTCTGGTAAGTGTGTTGACAAAATATATGATTTTTTATAACATTGCCTGTGTTGTCAGTTAATACCTATATAGGCTATAGGAAATGACTGAAGGACGATATTGTCTACTAATGTCAGGAGTTCATAATATTGGCTAGGAATTTATGTTATTACCTAATTGACAGTGACATATATAACATAATACTCACCACACATGGTGGCCAAAGAATCGACCAAACCGTTCAGCAATATGTGCTTGTCGTTCGATTCGTCTGCGATATATGTGTACAAAATATTTACGTACAAATTCGTCTGTGGAAAARTCGAAACAATTAAAACAAATAAACTAACGAAATTATAACAAACGATCATAATAGCGATTGATCGTACATGTATTTTATATTAATATATTTCATACCTACAGAGTGTTCAATAAGTTTTTAAGCGTATGTTTGATGCTAACTTTTTTAAACATTTCACACACATATTTATTACTCTATGAGTATGAAATATTACAATTTAATAGAAAAAAACAGACCTAGATAGGTTATAGACTTATTGATAATGATAGGAACGTCTTATGTAATTTACATATTATATGATTATAATTATTATAATGATTGTAAMATAACTATGAAAGTATTGAAAATTTAGATTTGAGTAATTTTTACTGTAGACAATATTATGCATTAAATAATATTGTAGYATAGTATAATCGTTGATTCCGTATTTAACTACATGRATTTAAAAATAATAAAATCTTTTAAGTCCTCAATATAATTTTTCAACTAAAAAATGAATATATTATTAAGTAAAATGTAATTAACAATCTAAAAATTAACTTTTGAAGCATTTATTAAGCACGCAATATTATAATTTGAGTAATGTATGATCTATTTATGTATGCAACATTTATTTCATAGAATTCACTGTGTTCACTTAAGCGAGTACCTGAAACTACCCTACTTTTAAATTAAAAATTAAAAATTAAATTAATTATTATTATTTTTTTAATCATAATGATTAAATACTTCATAAAAAAATGTATAATATGAAAATTTAGAATCTGTGTGACAGTACTAGTACATATAATAATATCATGTATACTTGTGTGAATGCTGCCATGGCTATGACGTACCAAATGGACCACATCAAAACCGTTCGATCGGCGTACGAATATCTGAAGTCGCAGAAGTTATTAAACTGGATCTCAGATTGCACGATCTGAAACTTGAAGGTATCCAAATACAACAATATGTCTTGTACATAACGATATCTGAAGATCTAACCTAASCTAACCTACTGGTGTCGTGTGTATGAGATCTACCATCTACCAACATCAATACTGATCCATAACTCGAAATTGGGAGTTAACATTAAAATATACATTTTATACTCATAATGCATATTACATGAAAATATTGTTAGACTTCAGCAAAAATTGATATGATTCATTTTTCAAAAATTATTGTAAATACATATTATGATATAATACCTAAATTAAAAATATTATTTAAATTCATGCCAGGCGTATAGCAACTGCATATCAGTATTGGTTTTTTAAMTTGGGTTGTACAATTTTATTTCAAATGTTTGTAATYACAAAATTACATAACAACTTTTGCTGCTCATAGTTACCTGCATAAAAGAAATCCATCATACTAAATCCCATACAACATAATTCCTTATACTGATAGATCGCATACAACACTAGTACCATAGAAAACGAAACTGATTACTTAAATTTGTAAATATAATATCTCTAACTTACAATTTTAAAATTCAYAAATTTAAATAAAATAAATTTACGGTTATGTTCTCCAAAAATAGTAAGTACCCTTTTCACCAGGTTACTTAATGCTAAGAAGAGTTTACTAAATGTATGAGGTAGGAAAATTAGCATATAAGACTTCTTTTAGCATCAAGTACTAAGTTAGAGTAACGTATTTAAAATTATTCAAAAAATAYATTATCAATTTTTTTAGAGCATTATAATATGTTGATACATTTTAAATACGATAAATATTTTAAAAATAAACCTAAAATAAATTTGCGTATTTATCTACCAATATGCACTTATT